GTTCTTTTCTTGGCTAGGTTTCTTTAAGGAATGAAACCCATGAACTTAAAGCCCTCTAACTAACAAAGTGCAACTTCAAAGCTACCCGAATATAACAGAAACACTCGTGTGTCTCACATGGAAAAACCTTTCTATGTGGAGTGAGAGGAGGGCATCCGGTAAACTGGCAGTGGGTGAGGGGTGCAGTTGAACACATGGGTCCAAGTTTTCTCCCCTATAGGTCAGCCCTGAAACCACAGAGTCCTTCTCTTTCAAACTCAGGCCCAAGTTACCTGAAGGGATTTTTTTAATAAACTGTTTCTATTCTGACTGAAATGAACTCTATCCGAGTCCATCTTCACCCCTTCTGTTGGTGAAAGCAAACCCTTCATCAGGCCGTCTCCAATCTCTAGACATGGGGTTCTTATAACGGAGAATTTATTCATCCGTTCTGTATCATTCAGCCTTTGAGCAGCAGGGGAGAGGTCATTCCATTTCTGTTTTGTCTCTAGAATATTTTCACAAATGCTGTGAAAACATTTAGTCCTGACCAAATTTACTCCACTCATATCACACCCTCCCTGCCCCTACATGTATATGTACACACACACTCACACACACACACACACACACACACACACACTCACACACGCTCTCTCTCCCTGTGCTGTGGGAAACTTTTAGGGGCAGTTGCACATGGAATCTTCATTAAAACTCCCTGAGCAGTTGTAAGCTATTGGATTGAACTTGAAAATGAATAGTGTCTTATTTTTAACAGTGAACCATTATTAGTGCCTACAGGGAATTGGGAAGAAATGTGAGTCTGATTAAAAGGTGAAGATGAAGGAAAAGCCATGGGGTTAATTAGCACTACAACAGTAAGAGAATCACAAAAATAATTTTATTTGGAGTTTCTGAATAACTGGAAACTCAAATTTATTTCTTAGATATCTCCCCAACAGGGAAAATACTTTATGCAGGCTGCTTCTTCCCCTCCAAAAAAAGTTGATATCAGAAAGAAGCAAACATTGCATACATATCTTTTTCCATTTATTGTAATTCTTCTTGGAAAAGGACTTTCATTGTCCAAGTAGGGATTTTGAATAACAACACATGTGCTTGAATGATTGAGAGAAAATTCTTGAGACTATTTTTTCTAAAAATACAAGATATGTGTATTTATAAAAGGGAAAGATAAGGAAGAAGATAAAGGAAAGTGTGATTATTGATTTTGGGCATAGTCTAGATTTTTTTCTTTCAAAAACAAGAATTAAAAAAAATTAGTATTTGTCCACGTATTTCAAGATTCCTTCCAATAGGTACCATAAAAGCACTTTTTTTTAATTGGACCTTGTCCCTCATTTCTGCACCAGGAGAGTGATTCCAGAGGGGCAAATGAACATTTATACACACACACACAAACTTAATTGCTGGCATCCCTCTTTTCAAGTTGCATATCCTGAAAGTGTTGAGGATTGCGCTAGAAATAGTGGTGTTCACTCAACATTTCATCACTGCCCATACTTTTCAGCCTCCTTGCAACCCTACAGGACCTTGTGACCAGTTTTGGTTAATGGTTGTGGTTGGAAATGATGTGTAATGTTTGTTACTTTAGCATAACAGTCTTTCCCAGCTACTGTAAAGGTTTTGCACAATATACATCACAACACACTTCAATTTTTCAGAAATCAGCAATTTTATCTTCCTCGTGTAAAAAAGATCGAAAAGTTGTATTCTGACAGTCATGGACTCTTAGTGCTGGGTCATCTTTCTAGCTGGGGAAAAGGAGGAGCTGACACATCTTCCTAGCTGGGAGGTCTGTAACGTGTCCGAAGACGGATCAGATTGTCCCATTTTAAAAGGACAAAGCGACCACTTGAGTAGAATGTTAGGGTACTAACTGATGCCTTTTTCACTTAGGGGACACCCAGGGCTACATAGAACATTAATCGTCTTTGCATAATTTAAACACATTTTTAACTTCCATTTCCAATGTTTAATGTTTAAATGTTTAAATGTTTGAATCCTTCTGCTATATTTTATGTAGCAAATTCAACTCTGGCAGCCGTTGTATTATCTCAAAAGATAATACACCTTAAAATCATTTGAACTCATACCATTTGAATATTCAATTCGTG